AAAAACGGCCAGCTTATGCTTCTGGCAGAGAATTATAATAAAACACAGACTTTGACCTCGATTTAAATGAACCCAACCCTTGGCCTTAGTTCTTTACAAAGTTTGTTTATTTACGCAAGGTATTATCTAAGCAAATGAAAATTAAAATGGCAATGTAAATCAAATGAAATTGCAAAGTAAATGGAAATTAAATAATTGCGTAATCAAATAAGATACAAAGGCTAATCTAGCTTAATTCTTTCTTTCTGGCGGTTTCTACTGGAATGACTTAAAGGGAAATTGTAAGAAATATGAACGATAATCGTTTGCGTATCACAAATATAATACTGAAAACGTCTTAAAATCGATAAGGAACAAATTATATAACGTGTAAACTCTTTGAATGAAGTCGTTCATAATAAAAATAGACCATACACACAACTTGTGTGTTATACAAAAAGAGAAATTTTATATAAATCATAAAAATGAACGTTACTAAATTTATATTTTTTAAATTAACGCAAAAATCTTCAATATTCATAACAATAGTAATTGCGAAACAGTTATACATTCGTATGTTCATGGGAAAAGTACTACAAGCGCAGCACTAATGTTCGCCCTCGAAGGCAATTCCCATATACGTCGTCTGTCCCTTTTTTCTATACTGGCAATGCCATATCACTGGTTCTGTTTTGATCAATATTTTCCTGCTCTCTTGCTCTCAGAGTAAGAACAACGGTTCGATGAGAAGAAGAAGAATCATCATCTATTAGTTTTTTTGGAGTTTTTAACATTGTTTTTTTTGCCTTTGACCAAGAAGGTCGTTATAATAAAATTGTGCCAAAAGAATTGTGCGAAAGAGAAAAAAGTGAAGTTAAAAATAATTTTTGTGTGTTTGATTGTAAAGCGAGGATCGACACAGTGGTAGCAGACCGTATTTAGAAACAACTTGTTGAGGCTGCATTGGAACCCTTGCACAAGTAGGAGCATATACCCGAGTCAGAAGTGCAGGTAACCAGTCGATCAGGGAAACTGACTCCGTGGTGACCGACTGTAGCAAAGTTGTCCCGTCAACATCTGGTCCTTCTCAACCGGCAATTTGGACAAAGTAATAGAAGAAAGTACCGGCAATTTTTTGAGAAAAAAATTGGAACTGTGGTGAAGAGCGAAAACTGGATCTATTGTCGTGGTTCCGTTACATAACCTTGCTAAAAATATTCAAGGGTAGCTAAGGTTATTGACTTATTTGGTACCGTTGGAATATTTTTGGAGCCTTGTCGCTGCTTACTCTTTGGCCCTTGATTGTGTTGTTGTTTGTAACAGCACTTTGTTTATTTCATTGCCTGCCTTCTTGTGAACTATACAGCATTGTTGTTGTACTTTTTGTGTATCGCTGTTTGTGTGCTTGCCGTTTGCCTGTAAATCTACATAATAGGCAAAATTTCTTCGCCTGTCATAACATACAAAGCAGTGTTGTTGTGCATTGGTTGCGCGCTGTCCGTACGGTAGACGCACTGGCATTGTTTTGTTGTTGGTGGCTCGCTGCTTGTGCGCTGTTGGTTCAGCACTTATGCGTTGGTTGCTATGCAGTGGTGCTGTTGGGCTGTTTATGATTTGGTGGCTCGCAACTTGTGCGCTGTTGGCTCTGCATAGTTGTTGCATTGTCTCTATCTAATTTGGTTGGGCTCTATTGGTGTTTTTGTCTGCCCTGACTCAAATTCATTTGCATTGATTTTATTGCTAGTTTATGAAGAACTATATTTCTCGAAGGAGATAAGATGAAGCAAACAATAAGTGGAAAGAGTAACATTGACTCTTTGGTTATCCACCTTATTAGAACAAAACCAAAAAATATTGCTACATACACAGTGGTGTGTAACGGCGTTTAATGGAATCTATGAGATTTTGGCAAATTTAAACGTCGTAAAGTAGTGAAGGTAAAGTTTGGAATTACCTCACACAATAAAGAAGAGCAATTTTGTTGTTAGTGGATTTTGCCTTTTATATATTCGACACTGTGGGTCAGAAGCATCTATTTGTAATATAGAGACTTGCTCAAAAAAAAAATCCCTAATTGAGAAAACATTGAAAATTCATTGTTGGAATGAACATTATTTGGGCTGTTTGGTGGCACACCATTAAATAATTTGCTCGTTTGAAACTTTACATGAAGTACAAATTAAAGTTTTTAAATCTTACTCAATTATTGGGGAATATATATAGTGAAGTTTTATCGTCGGTCTGTAAAATAACTTGCTCGTTTGGAGATTTACGGAAGACGTTACAAACATTCAAAACTCAAGGGTACGGTTGTTGAGTGCTCTTGACTGCTCAGATTGGACGTTTAATTGTAAACGTTTTTGGAACAAATTATTCGAAAATTAGAATAGAAAACATTCTCTGGAAGAGCAGTGGACATTTCCCCATCAATAATTTTTCGAGATTATCGCCTTTGAATTTTTTGCTAGCTCGATGAAAATGGCAAGTCTAGAAGACTTTTTGAATAAATGTGAGGAAATTATTTCTTTTGAAGAAAATTTAAAGGAGACTGAATACTCAGGATTCAACGATTCTGCAATTGAAGTTGAAAAATCAGAGCTTCACAGTTTGTGGACAGAAGGGAAGGAAACCCTGAAATAGGGAGACCATAAAAACTAATAAAAAACTTGCTCATCAGAGTTAAGTTAGGTGCATTAACATCTTGGGGGAATGGAAGGAAAAAGTAAAGGTTGTACCTATAGCTCAAAATCAAAAAGTGTCTGCCTCAATTTCAGTCCCGCCGTGTGACACGGAGGTTTTTCATGGGGACTATGTGTCATGGCCCAGTTTTCGCGATTTGTTCACGGCCATTTAGATCAATAATAAAAAACTAAGCTCTGTCTAGAAACTTTACCATTTGCACAAGTGGAGAGGCAAGAGAAATAAATCGCCACATTCCGTTGACGGCCTATGGTTTCTCTATTGCTTGGGACAATTTGAGGAACCAATATGAAAATAAGAGAATTCTAATAAATACTCAGCTGCGGAATTTATTTAATCTTGCTCATTGTGGGCAAGAATCGGCATGTGGCCTAAAGAGACTGCAACGAGACGTTACTAATTGCATAGCGGTCCTTGAGTTATATAAAATTGATGTAAAGTCTTGGGACCCTATATTTGTCTATCTTTGCTCTACAAAAATGCCGAAACTTACTCTTTCTCTATGGGAGCTGTCTTTACATAATAAGACAGAAATGCCTCACTGGGATGACTTGAATAAATTTCCCACGGAAAGATTTAAAGCATTGGAAAGTGTGTCCGATATAACTTGTCCGAATGGGGTACAATTAGGACAAGGTTCTCGCCCAGAGCACAATCAATATAATCAATATGAAAAATTGAGACAGTTTAGAGTCCACCATACCAAAGTGAATGAAAATAAATTCAATTTGTGTAAGGGCACTCACCCCTTGAAATCTTGTCCGAAATTTCTAAATATGGACTTCAAAAATAGATTCAATATCATTAAGAGGGAAAATCGTTGCATTAATTGTATGGCATGGGCCATCGAGCGGTGGACTGCCGATCTCAGGGTTGCTCTAAATGTAAAACAAAGCATCATAGTCTTCTTCATAAGAATACAATTACTCAAGGTAATGATGCATACTCAACTAACACCTCAGATTTGTCTCGAATGTGAGTCCAAATAAAACTTCAGGTCCAACAACTCTATCTAATCCTCGGGCCTTCCATACCTCTGTCTCAAATAGAACAATGCTTGCCACAGCATGGGTAAACATTTTAAGGAATGTAGTTCCATACAAAGTTCGTGCGCTAATAGACCCTTGCTCGGATGACTCTTTCATTTCCTCTCGGTTGCAAAAAATGCTAAAGTTACCAACAAGCTTTGCCTCTGCGGAAATTTCTGGTTTAGGCGGTCAACATCTAACGAAATGCTCCAAAATAGCATCTATTAGAATTGGTTCGATGAAAAATATTTCTTTCACGCTAGACTTGGAGGCGTTCGTGGTCCCAGAAATAACGGGAAATAAACCCACACAGCCATTGGATAAGATTCGTATGGACGAATTACCGGATCTATATTTTGCGGATCCAACGTTTTATCGAGGTGGCCAAGTAGATGTATTGCTCGGTGGAAACATTTACCCAAAAATATCTTTGGCTCACTTTTAGCTCAAGAGACCGTGTTTGGCTGGGTATTGACTGGCCCAGCAACCAATTTGCTCTATCCGACTTCAATGAGTGTTTCCCATTGCACAAGAGTGTCAGTGCAAGACCAGCTCTGAGACCAGTTCTGAGAAATTGAAGAGGTTCCCAAGGTTTCAACTACCTCGATAGAGGAACAGAAGTGCGAGGAAATTTTTCGATCTACGACTTCCAGAGGCTCTGATGGAAGATATACCGTGAACTTGCCCTTTAAAGACGATCCTCTATTTCTTTTGCATCAAAGTCTAGCCGATACGTTGCTCTTACTCAATATTTGCGGAATGAGACGTCGTTACTGAGAAATCCAAAACGAAAATCTGATTATGATGAGGTGATTTTAGAATATTTGTCTCTGGGACATATGGAAAAGATAGAACACTTTGTAAACTACAAGGACTGTTTTTATTTGCGTCATCATGGCGTTTTTAAGCCTGAGAGCGTGACTACGAAACTAAGAGTAATCTTCAACGCTTCATGTGCCTCGGTTAATGGCAAAAGCTTAAACCGTGTGTTGTATGTTGGACCTTCTCTTCAAAAAGATATTATCTCTCTGATATTAAATTGGCGCTTATACAAATATGTATTTAATGCAGACATTTCTAAGATGTATCGTCAAATTTTGATCAATCCATTACATGCTAAGTACCAGCGTATTCTGTTCAGAACTTGCCCAGACAAAGAGGTTTCTGATTACCAATTGAAGACGGTAACATTTGGCGTCAATTGCGCCCCATACTTGGCTCTTAGAACTCTTAAAATTGGCGGATGACGAAGAGTATCGTTTCCCAATTGGCTCGAAAATTCTAAGAAATAATATGTATGTCGATGATGCTTTGGTAGGCGTTCATACTGTTTCGCAGGGGTTGAAAGCGAAGGAAGAATTGATAAAAATTCTTGAATCAGGTGGATTTGAGCTTTTGAAGGGTCTGGCTCGTGAAAAACTTTTAAATGAAGACTTTTGGAGCTCGGCGACAAAAGCTCTGCTTTCGGTGGAACGCCTCGGTAGATAGTTTCTACTTTGTTATAGACAAAATTCCAGAAAGAAATTCGTATTCTAAGTGGCAAGTGTTGTCCATTATCGCAAAGATTTTCGATCCTTTGGGTTGGCTTTCCCCAATTGTAATAACTGCGAAGATTCTCATGCAGCAATTAAGCCGCATACCTTATTAAGCTGGAAGAACTTTGTCTCAACTTCCGTGGGAATTGAAGAAATTAGCATACCCAGGTGGGTAAATTACTCTGTTGACTGCAATGTTCAATTACACAGCTTCAGTGATTCGTCGAAGTCTGCTTATGCTGCAGCGTTGTATTTGAGAGTTGAAGTGGGACAAAATATTTTTTCGAATTTGCTCATTGCGAAGTCTAAAGTTGCCCCTTTGAAGAAGATGTCGCTACCACGATTAGAGCTCTGTGGCGCCTTGTTGCTTGCGGAGTTAGTAGATTCAGTTCTGCCTCAATTGGATATTCAAAAGACATCTTTGTTTGCTTGGTCAGATTTGACTATTGTACAAGCTTGGCTCAAGAAACCATCATACTCTTGGACAACGTTTGTCGCAAATAGACTTTCAATTTCCAGGAGAAAATAGGAAGTGGCTGGCATCATGTTCCTACGGATGAAAATCCGGCAGATCTGGCAACCCGGGGGCGGACTCCCTTAGAAATTACAGAGAGTGGTCTGTGGTGGCATGGACCAACCTAGCTCATATTGCCCGAAAATAGATGGCCGTCTGGTGTGGTGATATTTGAAACAATATTGGAGGCTAAACATATGAAAGTTCATTTTGCTCGATCTGCCGTGGAGGAAGATATATTTTCTTGTCTATCCACAGCAACTCATGTTGTAGGGTACATATTTCGCTTTTTCAACCGAACAGAGAATCCATTTCCCCTCGGAATATGATTGCTTCCTTAAAAATCAGAAGATTGAGTCTGGTAGCCCTCTTTTGTCACTAAACCCTTTTCTCGACAAAGGCAGCCTTATTCGAGCCAACGGAAGGTTGAGTTCTGCCTTTTAAATATCGTACGATAAAAGGTATCCAATTATTCTGGCCCATAAGAGCAGATTCTCTGCACCGTACGTTGACTTTTCCAATGTCTTACCAACCATGGTGGCATTCAGCTAACCCTGGCTACTACACGCCTGGAATGCTGGATCATAAGAGGCTGGAACTTGGTTAAAACTCGTTACCGAAATTGTACGAAGTGCGTTCTGGCACAAAAGAAACGACAAACACAGCTAATGGCTGCCCTTCCTCCAGAACGGACTACAATATCCCGAGCATTTTCCACATCTGGGGTAGATTTCGCTGGTCCGGTGGAAATAAAGAACTTTAGTGGTAGAGGCTGCCGCATTTCGAAAGGTTATATTTGTCTGTTTGTTTGCTTCGCCACCGAGGCGATCCATTTGGAACCGGTCAGCGACCTTTCAACCCCGGCGTTTATCGCCGCTCTTGCTCGATTCGTTGCCCGGCGTGGTTGTCCCCGTCATATATACTCGGACAATGGTAAGAATTTCGTGGGTGCTGGTCGCGAAATACGATCCAACCTCATGAAGATTATATCAGAAACCAGAGACGATTCTGTTACTCGATACGGGTTTCAGAAGTTAGAATGGCACTTTAATCCTGCCGCGGCTCCACATATGGGTGGCCTGTGAGAGGCAGGGGTTAAAAGTTGCAAAGTGCCCCTGAAGAAAATCTCAGGGCAGATACGACATACATTCGAGGAACTCTCCACTTTACTCGCCCGCATAGAAGCGTGCCTTAACTCTAGACCACTTACTTCCTTAACCGATGGCATAGATGACCCTAGCGCCCTTACTCCCGGACACTTCCTCATCGGCGGTCCTTTGTTGTATCTTGCTGAGCCCGACGAAGTCGAAAATAAAACGTCCTTGTTGAACCGTTGGAGACGTATAAAGTTGATTTCTCAAGAATTTTGTAGGCGCTGGAAAATGGAGTATCTCAAGGAGCTCCATAAACGCTCTAAGTGGAAAGTGGCTCAAAACGATCTACAAGTTGATGATATTGTGGTGCTACATTCTGACTCACTTGCTCCAAACGAGTGGCGCCTGGGTGGCGTGGTAAAATTACATTTTGGACAGGACAATAGGGTTCGAGTGGTGGACTTGAAAACCCTGAACGGCGTGATAACGGGTCTTGTACACAAATTAGTACTCGTCCCGAATAAACTTTGCTCTATAGACCAGCTTACGTTATCACACTTAATGATGTCTTACTCTATGAAAATACGTCTACCCATCTTATTGTCGCCTAACCATGCATTACACTTTCTTACAGATGAGTTACAATGATGCCTTTGGGTGCCCACTTTGCCACACTCGGCACTCTTCCCGACACTGTCGCAGTTTTCTTCAGGCGAGGCCTTCAGAGAAAGACGCTATTGTCCGCAAGTATTAAGGCTGCGTAAATTGTCTTGGCCTAGGTCATCGCGTTATTACTTGCCCTTGGAATGAAGGCTGTCGGGTATGCAATTTGGCCCATCACACCTGGTTGCACCCTCTTGATGTTAACCGGGAGGTTTGGTTGCGTATGACCGCCGAAGTCATGATGCATCTCCCGGAACTGGGTGAAACACCAAGGAAAGTTCGTGTCCTTATCGACCCTCTTTACGATGAAAGCACACTCGAACTAGGCACTCCCAGCAATTTTGTGATGTACCCGAGCTCTGCCACTGTTGTGCTGACATCGACAAACAACAATGTTCGGACGTACACCGCCAAACTTAACGTCCAGCTTGAGTCCGAGTTGTTATCGCCACGTCACGCCGTCGATATGCAATGTGTAAGAAAAGTTTACCCATAGAAGGCGATAGCGGATCATTTGAAACAAAGGGAAAATATAATGTGACCTTGGGAAAATCAGACACTGATGGAATTGTCTTGGGCCTACGCATCATTGAACCAGGCATGCCGTACGTTCAAAACACCATCTTTGGCTGGTCCTTTTTCGGCGACGTTGCCCGGAAGAAGTAACTGTTTCCCAAAAATTCCTACTTACCCGATGAAAGTTATCAGTATTTGTTACAATACCATGAAGACTGAAGACCGTGGAGCTGGTTTCTTATTTTTATTAATTTTTAATTTGTTTAGTTTTTTCTAATTTTCTAACATTTTATATAATGTCAAATTAATTTCATAATATACTTTAGTTGGGACCTTGTCCCAAGGGGGAGGGGGAAGATGTTCATGGGAAAAGCGCTACAAGCGCAGCACTAATGTTCGCCCTCGAAGGCAATTCCCATGTACGTCGCTCTCCCTTTTTTCTATACTGGCAATGCCATATCACTGGTTCTGTTTTGATCAATATTTTCCTGCTCTCTTGCTCTCAGAGTAAGGGTTCGATGAGAAGAAGAAGAATCATCTTCTATTAGTTTTTTTGGAGTTTTTAACATTGTTTTTTTGCCTTTGACCAAAAGGTCGTTATAATAAAATTGTGCCAAAAGAATTGTGCGAAAGAATAAAAAGTGAAGTTAAAAATACTTTTTGTGCGTTTGATTGTAAAGCGAGGATCGACACAGTGGTAGCAGACCGTATTTAGAAACAACTTGTTGAGGCTGCATTGGAACCCTTGCACAAGTAGGAGCATATACCCGAGTCAGAAGTGCAGGTAACCAGTCGATCAAGGAAACTGACTCCGTGGTGACCGACTGTAGCAAAGTTGTCCCGTCAACACTTATGTATTATATAGTTTATGTAAATAGTAATTTTCAATTTTAATATAGAAATATAACAGTAGACGTCGAAACATTTTCACATAACCAGACAAGAAGTGAAAATAATGAAAAAGTAAGACAAATATAAACTATGTGATAGCAAGAGTGTCACGTCTACGCAGTCTATCGTTTCCTCCGAGTAATACGAATTGGCGGGACAAACTATTTAAGTGCGCGGATAGTTTGATCAAGCTCTTTCGACAACGGTATGTTGAAGGTGCACCTAGAATAGATCCATGGTACAACAAAGAGGTAGAACAGCTTCGTAAAACTACAGAAATACAGCTATGAGGCTATGCCCGCTTCCTGTCAGAATTACTCAAAATTGTATGCAACAAGTTGTTTCAATTTTTTTTTACATTTTTCCTCCATTTAAAAATGACTTAAATGAAGCGAAAGATGAATGAAGCGCTTGGATTTTCTTTAAAAAATATGAACCAGAGTGTTCAATCCTTCATTTCCATTAAAAAATTGGTTTATATCTTCAAAGCACGCTCCAAATATTTGAAAATAATTGTTTTTAGTTTTCAAAACAATGAATACAGGGCACACTCAGAAAAAAAATGTGATAACCTGGTAGCTCTACTTTACCTTTTTATTGTACCATGGAATAGTTCGAAGAATATTCGATTGTCTTCTTTGTAGTCTATTTACGTTAGAGGCACTAGCTGTGCCCCAGATCTGTATGCCATAAGTCCAAATGGACTTTTTACAGTTTTTTTTAGTTTTATTTGCGTCCAGCTGCAATGAATCTATTCCCAAGAAATGTGTGAATATATATATTTGCTTATACTATGTCTCGGAGGGCAATATGTTGCAGATATAAGTGTATTCGCTCTAGATAGTGCAACTGTTGTAGCTTATATGTGATCGGACTTATATTCTGGCATGGGATAATGTTGAATTTTATTAGAAATTATAACCGTTGTACTACCTCAAGTAGTTCTGCTAGAGTGTTTAGTGTACTTATGTACTTTAACGAATTATTCTAAAATAATTTCTAGAAGTGAAATAAATTTCTGATACCACTAAAATGTGTAAATTGATTGATCGAATCGACCTCGTATTTATGTTGGCTTAAGCCGTCTGCTTTCCAAAAACAGATTCAGATTTTATTTATTTTTGTTTTAAAATGATTTGCATTAGCATAGATTGATTTCACATTATTTCTATATTTTTTGGTTGGGTGAGTCATTGCTCAAAATGTTAGAATGTAAGAACTGTATATTTGGAGAAGGGAGATTGTGATTGGGAGGGATAAATTCTCTCCTCTTTTTTGTCTCAGGGAAATCAGCCGTTTTGTAATCAAATTGTGGGTTTTCTTGTATTCGATATTTTATGTGGATATATACAGCCATCCACCGTAGTTTGCAGCAGCGAACGATTAACGTACCTCTCACAAGAAGGTACTGTTAGATTCGCAATATGTGTGATAAATTATTTTAGAGAACAAATGATCTGAACACACGAAATTTTATTTGGGAAGTAAATTTTTTTCATTGACAAGAAAATACTATTTAGATGTCAATGAATGATTGTTTGATATAAAATAATATTATTTTGAATAGCTTAATATTTTATACTCCGATCAAATCAAAACTACATACATTTCAATACACAAACAATACATCCTGCAGATTAATTTCATTATTGTTTCTATACAAAAAAAAAAAATACAAGACAAAAAACAAGTGCCGTTATCTTAATATTGTTTTTTTTTCGTTTCGTACTTCGAGAAAATACAGAACGAAACGTTTCAAATAGTTTATTTTCATACGCTGGTTTGCAGTACGGTCACTGCACTTCTTGACGTCTGGATCTGTTTTCCTTTTTTTTGCGGTTTTTCTATTCTTTCTCCGCGATTACAATCAATCCTAAGGTTATAACATGGATGAATTTGTCCTCTTTGCTTCAGTTGTGAATATTGATATATTAGCAGGTGATAGGTGCAGTAATTTTTCATTTCAGAATCCAGAAGACAAACTTGGTCCATTTGGGAGAGTTTGTTTACGAGATTCTTTGTTGTTTCTCCGCGAATATATAGAGTGGGAGGTTTTTGGGATTTAACCGGTTGTGTTATTTCGCGAGTCTCGTTATTAGAACCAGGAATTGAGAATGTGTTGTTGCGGCCATTATTTGCTGACTTTTAGGTTTAGCATTTGGTTCCTTGGTTGGATTCCTAGAACTGGCCTTGTGCTTCGTTACTGAGACATATCGTCCATACTTAAAAAAAACTTTGTTTTACTTGGTGTTTTTTTAAGACCGCGTACTTACTTAAAGCGATAGTTTCTTGTTGTGCGTTTGAATCGTGTGATGGCACCTTTTTTGTATTTGCTTTGGGCGTTTTTACATTACTTTGTTTATTTGATATTTCTTTTGTTCCGTTCGGAATAGTCTCACCTGACAAATTGTTATTATGGAAAAAATTCTCGGCGATGCCGATTTCTAAAGGTGTAAGTAAATAAGAAGCTTGAAGTCGTGGCTTGGCATATTTTGAGACATTTCATAAAGGGATTACAGAGCCGCACTAAATTCCTGCCGTCGTTTTCCATTATAATTTAAAATTAATATGCCCAGCCATGACTTCAAGCTTCTTATGTACTTGCACCTTAATGGCCTTTGGATACGCTTTGGTGCAGTTGAACTGTAATACAATACACTGATATGTAAAATTTTCAAAATGTTTCTCCGAATATAATTAAACTTTTATAGGTTACTAGCTGGCCCGGTCCGCGTTGCCGGCCCGTACTTTTAGTCTTCAAAGCATAATAAATCACAGATCTGACTTATGTAGGCGGCACAATTTGATTATAAGTAATGACTCCATTATAATTACTCCAATTTTGATCATAAGTAATGACTTGATTATGAGTAATGACTCCGTGACTAAATATAAATTAATATTCATGGCAAAAATTATAA